TTCAATGGACTTGAATTAATGGCCTGCCATGTGGTCTGGTAACATCGGGACTGTGCCTTGTTACTTGTCAACCTTGGGCTTGTCAGCCTCAGCAGGCAGCAACTGTCTGAGTGAAGAAAAGCCTCCCGCTTCAGTGGGCCAGGAGCAGGAGGCAGAGCTGAACCCCAAGGTTGAGGTGCTTTCACCCAACCCCTAGAGCCTGGCACTTTAAACTTGGACTTAAAGCCTCCAAACTGTAAGAGAATAAACTCCTGCTTGTTAAAGCCATCCCATTTGTGGTATATTCCTGTCAGAGTGGCACTAGGGAACCAGAACATAGGGCCTTCCCACCTAGGGGCTCACCTTCCAGCATTGCTTCAGCCAGTGTTCTGTTGTGATCCGTAGGGTTCCCACTGGCTAATTTTCAGAGGTAGGTGGCCAGGCCTTTCTTCCTAGTCTGTCTTATTCTGGAAGCGCCACTGAAGCCTGTCCACCATGGGTGAGCCCTGCTGGTGTTTGAAATACTAGAGGCATAGCTTCCAGCCTCGCAGCAACACACAAGCCACCAAGCACAACAGACTGACAGACGGATGGTGCAGCCAGAAGGACTGGAGCCATGGAGGTCCACCCTTTCCTGCTCAGTCCTCTTCACCCTGCAGTCTGCATTTTATTTACCACAAAAAAGTCCCATTGCAAAAGAGCTGTCTGCCCCCTACCACCACCTGCTGCTGATCTCAGCACTTACATCTTTGAACTGAACCAAGTCCAGCTCTCCGAGCTCAGCCACACAGCAGTATGCGGCCTCCACCTGGAGAAAGAGCTGTGACAAGCACATCTCCTCACTTCGAAACACAGACGCCATCTTGGCCCAGCCTTAGTCTGTGGGCAAAAAGGAGAGAGAGATGTAAGGTAATAAATGTGTGGGGACCTTAGGATTTAACCTTTTTTTCAGTTGAGTTAAATTAAAACATAACAGGAATCACTCCTGACTTACAAAATATAAACTAAAATAACATTTCATCATCTAACAGGTTGGCAAAAGATGAAAAAATA